TGCCTCCACCAGTGTGTGAATGTGAGAGTGAATGAATAGTGGTATTGTAAAGCGCTTTGAGGTTCTCGAAAAGCGCTATATAAATGCATTATTATTATTATTGTTCTATTCCTCTGATATACATCTTGTTCCAATAGTGCATGCTTGTATTGTGTACTCTGATGTCTGTGTTATTCCATAGAGCAGGAACATCTCTGTCACACTGCTCTGGGTTCGGGTAGAGAATAAGTTCCCCGTAAGTAATCCTACAGTTTCAACATCTCAGTACAATTATAAAAAAGCAGAAACATTTCACTACAAGTACTCCCAGTTATCTAAAAGAAGTCTACACAGTGCAGACTTGGATGACATTTTTTTGGGGGGGAAGATAACCCACTATATAAGTTTATTGTAAAGATTAGCCAAGTTGATGTGAGTCATAATACAACACACTTAAAGCACTATGGCTGTTCCTACAAAATAAAACCACCATGCACTTACAGAAGAGGTTTGCTCTCTTCATTGTCCTCTTCCTCCACCTCCAGCAGCCAGCCGTAGCCTCGTTGTCTCAGGAAGGTGGTGGCATACGGGTCCTTCCCACTGTCACTGCCTATATTCAGTTTAACATCTGGAGTGCTGATGGTGCCGCTGAGTTCTGAGGATGACATATTTGTTTACATCGTGTAATGTGTGCTTTTAGACTGGCATGAATCCAGAAATACACACTGCAAGATGTATGACAAAACAGCTTTAAGTCCACTATAACCAGTTCTCACTCTCAATGCAGCCTTACCAAGCTGACCAATAATCGTCCCAATTAAAATTAGGATGTCAAAGTAAACATTAGTGGCAGCGCCACTCTAAACATAAAGAGTGAGACCGATGCAGGCAAAGGTTAAATCTTTTTTATAAGGAAGATATTCCAGCGCACTCGCCTGGCATGTTTAACAAGCCCCTGTCCAATCAGTGCAGTTACACACACAGGGGATGGGACTAGGAATCGAGAACCGGTTCCCAGGAGTTCAGTTCCTTGGAAATGTTAGTCTGTTTATCTATTGATCTTGCTTACTTGATTGGAATTTGCATGTCAGAGGAGGAAAATACCAGCACAGTGTACAGCATGGATATGGACTTTTATTTTACTTTTATTGCACAAAAGGGTGAGAGCGTGATGGTAAAATGGAAGATGCATCCAGGACAGAAACAGCTGCTTTATGCTAATCAGACAGCAAGCTAACTCTAAGTCAAGAACCTGAGTGAACTCTGACCCCAAGCAGCCAGACCCTGAACTTCAACAGGCAACAAACAGCCTCCTTTGTTACCTTCTGTAACGTTTCTGTACAGCAGAATCACTGTGGGGCTTTGAAGCGTCTTTGTACTGGTTTTCATTTTGGTTTGCTGTTTTCAGCTTTGTGTTCATACCTAAATACTGTAGCCTCAGGTTTATATTGTTCACCGGCAATTATGAGACAATGTGCTCCACCCATTTTATAGAGTTATATAAAATAACATTATTTTCTCCTTTGAGTAATAAAGTAACGTACTGCGTTACTTTTTATCCAAAAAGGTATTGCGGCCTAAATCACTGATCGAAAATCACGTATGTGTTCAACCCGGATGACATATAGTGACTATGAAAGCCATAACATGTGACCCATTCACAGTAACCACTGTGGACGGATGAATTTGGATGAGAGTGAAATGTTTCATCCCAGATAAAAGTGACCACGTACAGCAAGCAGTGACTTTTCCCTTGACGTGGAAACAAAACCCTCCGCATCAAAACAGCAGCAACCAGACCCTCACCCAGGAGAGACTCAGTCACTTACTCCATCACAATTTAAGTAGTAAATTTTAATTTCTGGTTTAGCCAGTAAACTTGGTACTCGGCAGCTACGTTCTCCACCAGCCACGTATCAGTGCTGAAGTTATTTAGCAAAGCTAAATGACAGACTGTCTACCTGTGAAATACTGTGTACCAATTACTCAGAAATGCAGAGTCAGCCCACAGCAAAGTGCTATTTCTTAGTGTGGATGGATCTACGCCTGGGTATCTAATCTAACTCGAGACAAAAAAATAAACGACGTGAGCAGGTACGAGGCTAGCTCTTTTCAGGCCTGCTAGCTGCGTAGCTCTGCTAGCGATAGCCTACCTTCAGCCTCGGTCGAAGACACGAACGTGAAATCTCCGTTGGTGGGAGGGAACTGCATGTTTCAGTTTCTATTACTGCCACACGCCTTGGCTCCACAGAAATTGCATTTAGTGACACGTTAATAAAGCTGTCATTGGTCACAACTCTTCAGTGAAGTTCAACTACCGCATCTTGTTTTCTTTCCGACGTTGTGCGCTTGGACGTAAGCAGGAAGTGCAGATGATGCTAGAAAAGAGTACACGTCTTGTGATGCATTCATGTCTAATCATGATGGTCGGAAACTATCAGAAAATCTTTGTTAAGTTCAGTGTGCGGAATATATGCAGGGGTGGAGGGAAGGGGGTCCACAAAAATAATTCAGGAACCACACGTGGTCTTTTGTACTCTAAAGCCTGGTGGAGTATTTATGTCAATTTAACAAATTATAGATTAATTATAATTTCAGCTAAACGTCAGAACTTGACAACAGCCTTTAATAAAATGTTGCTTTTTTGTTTTTGAGTATTTTGTTGATGAAGTTAATGTACGCCATATTCTCAGTCTAATGTTTTCCTCTGCAGACACATGTGATGGGTACAAACTGTTAAATATCCCCCTTAATACCCCTTAAATCCTGTTCGTACTGTACTGTGTCGTTAAGTGCTTAATGATATTAGGGTTACGAAAATCCATCAGAACAAAATGTTGTTAATTTGAAAAAATGAACAGTGCCCCAAGTACTGCAAAGCCTGAGTGTATTTTGTGCAAAGTAGAGTTCAGTGTGTTTTGAGGGTATTTACAGCCAGGTCATAGATCATAGGCTCTCATCTACATCCAGCTGAGTGTGATCTGCTCACACTTGCCTGCAGTGCACATTTTTACGTGATTCTTTTTCAGCTTGGTATGGGAGATATTTTGCTACCAGATATATTATTATTATTATTATTATTATTATTATTATTATTATTATTATCTTTATTTAACCATGAGATTTCATTCTTAAGATAGCAAATGAATTTACACATACATTTTGGTTTAAGAAAGAAAGCAAAATTCACAGATGCATTTGAACATGTCTTCTTCGCTTTTGCCAATGACTGTTTTCTACAGTTGGACTTTTGGATCCAGCCTCTAGTGGCCCTTTGGAGGAACTGCAGTATTACAGGAGGTTAGCACTCTGTACCGGCGTACTTCGTTTCGCAAAGAGGCGGGTAAACAGTGTAACGGGGCAGAAACATGGAGCCAATGGCATGTCGTCGAATCTCTGGTGGTGTTCCCACAGCCGCGACTAATGTGGAAGATTTGAGTTGCACCCACATCAACGAGATACGGGTCGTTACAGCAGCCCTATGGGCACGACGTAGCGTCACGCCGGTGATGTTTTGAAGCACACTCCCTTTTCTATTACGTTCTCTGCCTCTTAGTGACTCTAGCCAATAGCAACATCTCCTACTGAAATACTTCTTTTGGCGCTAAAACCAAACTCCCTCTAGTTTTCTGTCGTCGAGGCTCTGTTGGTGTCGCTAGTTTCGAGAAAAAGGTAAGTTTAACTTTTAACCTTTAGTCGAATTACGTTAAACTGCTTTTGCGTGTTCTCGTCTGAGGAGAAATGTACACTGACATCAGTTGTAGAGCCAAGAAACTGACCAGCTACCTTTTAAACGACATACGATATCAAGGCGTTTCCAGTGTGATTTTCATCTGTTGAGCAGATTCAAAGCAGAAACGTCTGCGCTGACTTATCGTTGTTATTGTTACGGAGCGGGAATCGAGCAGCTCACGTGCAAATTATCAGACAAACATGAATAATTCACACGTGCTCATGAATGAACTGATGTGTTAACGCCGCTGAACGCTGTTTACCACTGCATACGTTTATATTTACACGATGCAAGTGTGACAACTTTACAGTTAAAGCTAGTTTAAAAAAACAAAACAACGTGTGGCATTTAGATCTAAATCCGGTTTACTGTGCATGTGGCTTTAACATTAGCAAAAGGAAAGTAAATCTGAAGCCTTCAAACAATTCTTAAGTGAAATAGCAGGTAGCAAAATATTAGTCACTGTAGGTTTGGAGGATATTTTTGGTTGCATTGATATATCTGCTGAGTATGGGTAGAATCCAGTGGGCCTGTTGACTGACACTGACAGATAGCTGATTTTGTTTTATTTTTTATTTTTTAATCTGTAGTGTCCCGTCAGTCTTACACTGTCAAAATGTCATGGAAAAATGGAGAGCTGTAAAGAGAGCAAACAGAATTATCAACAAGCAAATCCATATCGGCCCAGGATTTTGGAATTGATGCATCAGAAGAAACCTCCATTTGTGACATAGTGCTGTTAAACCTGTATTTAGTCCACAAAGTCCATTTTAGTTGAAGGTGTCCACGCTAGATGCACCCTCTCTGAAGGTGTTCTTTATCCCTTACTGATGATGATTTCTCATGTTCAGAATCGGCGTGGCACCGGTCACTGGCTCAAAATGGGAATCTCTGGACTGCTGCAGTTCATCAAAGATGCAGCAGAGCCCGTCAATGTGAAAAAATACAAAGGCCAGACGGTAGCTGTGGACACCTACTGTTGGCTGCATAAAGGAGCTTTCTCATGTGCTGAGAAACTTGCTAAAGGAGAACCGACTGACCAGTAAGCAGTTGTGCTATTTTCAATCAATTAAAACGACCCTGTTGTTGTAGGGTCTTTATCTGTTGTTATGATTTGGCACAATGCAAATAAAACCAAAGTGAACTAAAGGTGTTCTGAATGAGGCTGTTTTCTGATTAGGAATGGCCTAAAGTCTAGAACTGACAGTGGTGTTGAATTTGCCCCATCCAGGTATGTGTGGTACTGCATGAAATTTGTGGACATGCTCTTGACCTTCAGTGTTAAGCCCATACTGGTGTTTGATGGACGCAATCTGCCTTCAAAACAGGAGGTGGAAAAGGCTCGCAGAGAGTGAGTATTTACTTTTATTTGCTTCTCGCTGTAAACATATACATTTGAACAAGTTTAACCTAAAGTGAGAACAATCACAACTCTTGGGATCCTGATAGTTTCTATAGTAGATTCGAATGAGGAATTTGCGATGCATCCAGATAGAAAGAAACCAATACAGTACACTTCATTACAAAGGCTGGGCTTTTAAAGAAGAAAGAACACATAGCAGTCTTACTGAGAGCAACACAAAATGATGTTTTCATGTTTAAGCCACTCGAAAGAGTGTCAGTTTTGTGACTGCATGAGATATGTAGGAGTTTCTCTTACGGAAGGATGTGTTCAAAATTTATCATGCAAACCTGATTTTTGGGTTGTAGTGTGGTATTTATAGCAAATTGCACTAAAAAAGCATGCCTGATGCGTTTGTGATAATTGCTTCTAGGAATGATTATTTAGAACGGAGCCACTTTGAGTGAGTGGCTCAAAGCTGTGGGCACAACACCGTGGTTCTTTCCTAAAACTCGGCCTTTAGTCGTCATGTTGGCTAACTTTTTGCCACGGTTGCACTGGTGCGCCTGGTTTTTTTTTTTTTTTTTTGTGGTTTTTTTTCCCTTGGGTGCGTACAAATTTTTCAACTGCATTGCTTAACACCGCAGTTTTACTTGTGCTAGAAGTGCTTCACTGAGTTGAAATGTAAACTTAAAACATCTCAAGATATATGAAATAAAAATAAAATCTAAATTGGAAGGACCTCAAAGTGTCTCACAGTTTTCAAACATCTCAGTACCTGAGCAGCTCGATATCTATGGACTCTCCTCCATTGCAGTCACGTGCCCCTCAGATGGCCAACTCCTGTAATTTTGCCCCCTTTTTTCTTCTTCTTCTTTCTTTTTCCCCAATGTGTCAGCAATGACACCATAAACATGGCGCACGCGACATCATTACTGTACGTGGGTTTACGTTCAAGCCATTTTTCTTGTGAAGAATTATTTCAGACTTGAACTTAGTGAACAGAACATATTCTTTGGAAACATCGTAGGTAATGTTAACCGTAATCATCATGTCGGCCTCCTGACGGCCTGTTTGCTGCTGAAAGGCCGTGGGGAGCGGGGACACTGGGCAGTGCATTTATCGCAGCATATGTGTTTTCTGGTTACACTGTGCTTTTTCAGCGTTTCAATTGGAAACTTATTAGCACCAGTCACAAATGCAGTATTGTCAGCCATGGTCTCTCCACACTCACCACAGGAAATGCAGTGCATCATGTTGTCAGCTTTACTGTATCTTAGCCGGGGAAAGTGGACAAGCCGCTCTCTTCCAAATGTATACACTACCCCCTTTTACTCTCAGTCCATCATATGTGGCTCATTATCTGATGCCGTCTCTGGACCAGTGTTGGACATAAGCTGAGAGGTCGATGGCTCCGTGTCATGAATTTCAGACGGATCAGGCCTTAATGAAAAGGTTATCGAGTGTTCTTTTCATCTTTTCTCCTTCCCCACAGCTACATCCGCCTCTGGGCCTAGGCTGCTCACCTCTCTCTATCCGCCTGCACTTTCAAACGTACTCCACCCTTGACTGTTTGTGATTGGTTTCGATCAGGGGTCCCCAATCCCAGTCCACGAGGGCCAGTGTCCCTGCAGCTTTTAGATGTGTCCTTGATCCATCACAGCTGATTTAAATGGCTAAATTACCTCCTCAACATGTCCTGAAGTTCTCCAGACGCCTGGTAATGAACTAATCATGTGATTCAGGTGTGTTGACCCAGGGTGAGATCTGAAACCTGCAGGGACACCGGCCCTCGTGGACTGAGATTGGGGACCCCTGGTTTAGATCATGATATGGGAATAATGTGTTTGTTGACCACACGGAGACTTTCAGAGTTTCTGTGAAGGTTCCCAAGCAATGAGCACACATCCCCATCACAAACAAATACTTTAACTTCATGACCACATCCTTGACGAGGGAGCTGAGCTGTACCTGTGACTGTCCTAATTTTTTCTTTCCTGCTAACAGTGACACCACAGCATCGTATCGTATGGTTTCAAATCATGACTGTCACTTCCTTCCACCTCACGTTGTATGCCCTCAGTTTGATTTCACTTCTGTACTTTTCAGACGCAGAGAAACCAACCTACAAAAAGGGAGACAGCTGCTACGTGAGGGCAAACTGTCCGAGGCCAGAGAGTGTTTTAACCGCTGTGTTAACATCACCCCGGCTATGGCTCATAACCTGATTAAGGTGGGGTTCTTCTCCTTATTCGATCGACCTATGAGCGCTCACACGCGACGTATGAAGTGCTTCTGGTAATCACTGTCACCTATCGTGTGAACTTGTTCTGTGACAGCGGGGGTGTTTGACGCATGCTTTTA